ATATATATATATATATATATATATATATATATATATATATATATATATGTACCTTATGTGATGTATATAAATTAAAAGTGGATTGCTATTATGTATATGTTGTGATATGTCTCCGACATAAGTCCGTCTCCTTGAGGGATGAAAAAGATAAGCCTGAGAATCACAGCAAAGAAAACAAGATCATCAGACATCGTCCAGTATGATATCAGGATTTAAGAGTCGATCCCTTCTCTTGGAGGAGAATGGACCTTTTTATACCTGTGGTCAGGGGAACAAATCCCCTAAAATATTTTCTACTTTTCCAGGCATGGCAGGACGAGGCGGCCTTTTATTGGTAGATCGTGCCACGTGGGTGGCTATTAGCTATTGGTGCAGAACTGCCTGTTGGCAGATCACCGAGCACTACACCTGTTGGCCAGGGGAAATTGGTATTCCTTTATCTTATTTGGAACATGAGTTTCTCCCCTAAAAGGGAGCCAGTCCCGAGGGCATATTGCCGGTGCTAGAACGCGGGGTCTTATGAACAATGGTTTTCTTGCGGGTCTTGTCGGGTAGTGGGTTTTTTATGGGCCATTCCTATGTGGACGGCTTTATTATTCTATGACGTTACTCTGGGTGAGATATGTCAACAAGTCCTCTAGGCTAGTGGACATCAACGTTTTCTCGGGCTAGCGAGGTAATTCTATCCTTAGGCATGGACACATGTCCATCGATGATGGTTTCTGCTGCTTGTTGACGTGACAGAATCGTCAGAGTCAGTGGTTTCATCATTGTAACTATTTGGGTTTCCCGCCTGCATTTAAAACCTTCCTTATGTGATATGATTTCCTTTTATCCTTTGCTTCTTTTTTTCTCCAATATTGCTTCTTTCTTTCCGTTCCTTCCACATTTTTTCTTCTTCGTTTTCATTTCCCTTTGTTACCAGACCATTGTATCTCTGAACACGGGTGTTGCTCCATCTTCCGAAGAGTTTTCCAGGCTGCAGTAGCGATTCGGTTTCCTCCCCGATCTTGGGGTCGAGTTTCCAGGCTGCAGTAGCGATTCGGTCATCTCTCGACCACCAGAAGGTAAGGTCGGAGTTCCTATTCCCATGTTCGAGGCAGTGCTCCGGTTTCCAACAACCGACTTTTTAGGCGAGATCATGTGTCACTATAGTTTCACTGTCGATGACCTTACCCCTAATGCTGTTAACAAGATAGTTAGCTTTGAGATGGCATGTCGGGATTTGGGTGTGCTTCCCCAACTGTGGTCTTTCAAGTACTTCTTGAATTCATCGACTCAATATGGTATTCACATGTTTTCTCAACGCAGAGGTGTTCAAGCTTTCATCGTGAACCAGAAGGCGCCAAAGAAGAATTAGCAGGAAAGGTGGCTCTGGGTGAATCGGTATATAGTAAGTGTTGATGCCATTTCTGACCCCCAACAATCCCCTCCTCAAAAGGGGCGCAACCTTACCCATATAGCGCATTCAACCCTCCAAGACCAGGCATTCTATTGCGGCACTCCAGGCCATCGTGCTCGGACTTGGTCGATGCCATTTCTGACCCCCAACAATCCCCTCCTCAGAAATTTCTCCCTGAGAGAATAGAACCCTCGCCACTAGCTCTGATACCATTTGTTGAGCATCAGCGCTACCAGTTGATCTAAAACCAATTGGTGTTAAAAAGGGCGCAACCTTACCCATATAGCGCATTCAACCCTCAAGGACCAGGCATTCTATTGCGGCACTCCAGGCCATCATGCGAGGACTTGGTCAATGCCATTTCTAACCCCCAACAGTAAGTTATGGTTATCCCTATAGATCCAAATTTTCTGATCGGATTCCTACTCTTTGGGGGGCTAGCGAGCAGGTTTCCAACGCTCTGAAGAGCATCTCTTTCAACGGGGATGTCTGGGAGGACTGTACGCTGGACGTTGTGGGTATGAGTGTAGCTTGGAGGTATCAATGAATGATGCCTTTATTTTTTGTTGTAAAGGATGGTAAGCGCTTCTCCCTTCCTCCCTTTTGGTTTTGCTTTCCTTTGGTTGCGTTTGTGTTTCGTAGTGTGGCATACCCCTCCCTCGATTTTTTCTCTTTTTTGTGTGCTTGATCTTCTTGTTTTGTTGTTAGGTCATGAGAGGATCATTCCATTCGAGATGATTTGGAGGGGTCGTTTTCATGGTGTCTTCCTTTATCAGGAGGAGTCATTGATGGAAGTGCTTCCGTCGCCGGTTAGCATCGACCGTGCATTGGTTGTCTCCGGGCCGATCACTACTTCGGGTCTGATGCCTGATCCTCGAGCTGACTTGGTGCTGGTCGATGCTTCTGAAGACCCTTTGCCTTCTGACATGGAGAAGGAGGAGGAGGCCTCGACCGAGCTGGTGAGATAGGATACCCACGTGGCCTCCAAGCGATGGCTTCCCTGGTTGGATTCACCATAGGCAGAATCTACCGGGACTAGCTCCTCGGGCCGACACTTCCTCAAGAGGCGGAATGTGGACTTCCTTTTGTAGGAGTCCACTATCGTAATAGACATCCCCGATGATGACACTTCGAAACAATCGGAGGGGGTGAAAGAAGGGGCGACGGAACTGCCCCGTGAACCCAAAGAAGAGCTAGTGGAACCTATTGCATTTGGTGAAAGTGTTTTTGGTGTTGACTCGGGTGTTGCTCACGAAGATGCTCCAAACTCACCAGTGCTGCTTCTGACTGGGGAGGGTAATACTGGGAATTCTACTTCTGTTCCTCCAACGGCGCCAACCATATATGTACCGGAATAGGGGATCACCCAGGAATCCCGCCTTACGCAGCACGTGGTGGCGTATGACTGGGTTTGCCATGCCTATCCCCCGGCTACCATCGAGGCTTTGGAGCTTCTTTCTAACTCACATATTTCAAACATTCTTGTATATGCAACTGCTCAGGTAGGCTCATACATGGTGGCGACTTCTCTTCGCCTTCGTCAGAGCAGTTCGAGTTCCGGTGAGCTTGCTTTGATTAGGGCTGAGCGGGATGAACTGAGGGTGAGGTTAATAGAGTTGGAAGGAGAAAATCATGTGGGCGGGGAGAAGGCCTCTTTGGAGGAGCAGGTTTCGAGACTGGATGAATCCGTGGGGCGTTTGTCTTAGTGTGTGGAGGCGTTGGTTGAGGAAAAAGGGGTATTGAAGGGCCGAGTTGAGTAGTGTTGTGGGCAGCTGGAGACGGAGAGGGCGAAGAGGGAGAATGTGGAGGCAGATTTGTCTTGGCTCCTGAAGAAATGGATTGTCCTAGGTGTAGATAAATTGATTGAGAGCTCCGAGTTCACACTTGGGATTAAGCAAATGAAGGTTGCGTGTATGGAAGTCAGGGTAGAGGGTGGAAAGTAGTTAATCAGGGAGCAGGTTGCTACCGGGAAGTTTACACCAGGCGAGCTGAGCGTGCTTCTAGAATATACCCAAGCCATGCACGTTGAGGTAAAATCTTTCTTGGAGACATATTTCTCCTCCTACCTCCACCTTAGCGAGCTCGACATGGAAGGTCTTCTTCTCTTGTGTAGTGACCCTGATGTTGAAGGAGAATATCCTGAAGGAAGTTCTTCCAAGACCGGACCTTCCCCCTACCCTCGGTATGTGATTTCTGTTTGGGTGCAAAGTTATTCATGAATGTCTATGTAATGGTTTGACTCTTTTAGACCCACTTGCACATTGTATTGTCGCCTTGTGACATGAGAGATAGATAGATAGATAGATAGAGAGAGAGAGAGAGAGAGAGAGAGAGAGAGAAAGAGAGAGAGACATGTAAGCACCTCTATATATAGTGGGTTGCATACCACTTGTAGAGGTGTGCATGAGAGATGTAGTTCAAAGTGACTAGTGAGTGAGATATTTATGAAGTTCTAGTCTAGTTCCTTGTTTGTACTCATTTACTATGATCGAATACATCTTTTAGCACCCAAATCATCGTGTTCTTTGTGTTCATTTAATTCCGCATCTCAAATTAAATGCTCATAATTCATTTCAATTGGCATCAGAGCGGGTCTTCGAAGATCAAAGTGACTTTTCAAGAAATGGTGCTTGTTTTGGCTACATTCAACACAATTGGACGCTTATGGTGAGTCTCTCAATGATCTCTCAAAATCTCTTTGATTCGTGCTTGCATTTTTGAATTTTTGATCATTTTGACTCATTGGATCAATTTTTTTTTGAAAAATTGATTTTTTTAGGATCCAATAAATTTTTCATTAATCAAGCCCAATCCAATCCAATCTTATTTTGTTTGATTCAATTCTCAATTTGCAGACAGTTTTTTAATCAAAATCTATTCCAAAGGTAAATTGAATTTTCTGTTGTTAATCTCGAGTCCAAAAATGAATGTTACTATTCATAGTCGATCTCATATGATCAAGCCCATTTAATCACATTGATCCAGTTTTCAAATGCTTTACTGTGCATGAATATTATTGAGCCCATAATACTTTTAATCTGAATTCATTGTTGAGCCCAAGAGGTGATTAAATCCATCCAGTTCTAAAGTTCACTTTTGTTCGTCATCTGTTGTTCGGCGTTTGCTTATACGGCTGATGTTCTTATTTCGCGTATTATTCAGTTTGTTCTCGCTTTTAGTTTTCTTCTCATCATTCCTAAAAATCGATTAGTTTTTGTTGTTAAATTGAACTTGTGAATCGATTTTATGTAATTTGTTCAATCCCAAAATCGGTTATGATCAAGTTATTGTTAAGTAATCGTCAAATGGTTCTTTGATTTTCAAGAAATGGATCAAGAACACGTGAATGTGATGAAGAATAGTGAAACAATCACTTTTTGATCTGAAATTTGATGTTTTAATCATCAATTTCATGTTTGTTGAACTTTGAAATCGAAAAAGTTAAACTCGCTAAAAAAGTCAAACTCAGATTTGCAAGTGTGATTCTAAGAATTGAAGGCTGAAATTGATAGATACAAGTTGAAGTTTGGTTATGGATGTATAGGGATGAGTTCGTCTTGTGCAGCGTGCGTGTTTGTGTTATTATGATCCTTTGGCTCTATTGTGGTTCGATGTTCCCTTTTTTGTTTGCGAGCTTCCCGACTAGATGTCGTCCTGAAGGAAGCCTTTGCCAGTTGTGGACCCTTACGACTGTGGTGGGTCTTATGTCGACATCTTCCTTTCTGGGGTAGTTACCTACCTTCGCTGCTCCGGCTTTAGCGGTTTCCCCCTTGCGTTTCTGTTCGAGCTGCGAGACTTTATGGATATGCCCTGTTGTTTGCTCTTTTTCCATGCTCTGGTCCGTCGTTGTGTGATTGCATGTTGGCAGGCTTAGCGGTATCCAGCCTCGCTTGGTGTTCATGCTAACTATCCTCGATGTTTCTGGCATGGTAATGTTGTTGCTGTCGTGCCATTCTCCCCCCAGGCTGTTTGCATGGGGGTCGCAACTTTTCCTCCTGTACTGGATCTGGGTAGTGATTACTATTGTGCGCCGCCTTCTTGGAATGTGGACGCTAGCCCAGGTGGTGATCGCCCGTTGTTGCTTTGCCCGTGGGTTGAGGGTGGTCTCTGTTGCCGAGTCGTTGGTTGTCCTGAATTTTACTGTACCATGTATTGTTGATGGGATGGCTTGGAGCCGGAAAAGGGCTGGCCGCCCAAGGATCATATCGTCGTCGGACCCGTGTTTTACTACTGAGAATTCGATTATCCTTGTTACCTTTTCCTTCCAATTGTGGCTGATTATGGTTGTAAGAGGCCACTACTTGTCTCCTGTGAAGCCGACGAGTAAGCCTCGGTCGGTGTTTTTAGATTCTTTTTCCAAGATGTCGAGAGTCGTTCAAAATAGTGCTCGTAGAGGACGTTGATGCTTCTACCACCATCGACCAAGGTTCACCAGATCTGATGTTGTTTTATGTGGGCGGAGATTATGATTGAGTCTTTGGGGTTTCAGCCGGGCGCTCGCGGGTCTCCCAGTGAGAAACTTACGTTTAGAGTATCTCCAGGTTTGGCACCGATGCTATTGTTTGTCGATTGGTGCCTAGCTCTATTATGGGGCTCCGCGATTGTGAAGATCTCTTCCTTTTTGACTGGTTATTTATTCGCTTCCTTCTGAGTTCGCCCATCTTTTTGTTCGGCTTTGAATTTTGATTGTAGGCTATTCGCGATCTCCATGAGGTCTCCATTCAATTGCTTATCTGATACTTTTCTTTGGATGACCCTTCATTCCCTGGTGTCATGGGTTTTGCTCTAGTGGTAAGAGCTCTTGTTGAGCTGATGCTCGTGGTCGGGCTGTCCATGTGTGTAGGTGAATGCTCCTCCGGCCATCACATGTTGTACGTGGTATGGGCTGTTATACCCTTGGCCATACCTGTATCGGTACCCATGGTTGTACATAGTTACTTGTGGTATGTATGGTGCCTATGTGGAATATGTATGCATCAGTTGGCTCGGTTGTGAACTTAAATTTGTTGGCCCCGTAGTATGTGAGCTCATTTCTTGCACTAGTGTGGCTTGACTGTTGTGACTTTGCGACTAGATTGTTTGGGGATACGCACCTTGGTAGTGGTATAAGTATGGGTTGAACGCTGGTTGCTGAGCGAACAGCGGGATGTGCGACATGCTGGCCATCGGGGAAGACTGATGACCTGTGGACGGCAGTTGTGTAGTGGGTAGAATGGTAGCGGGGGACCAGGTGCTGGTCCCCACCTGTCATAGTGGTGGCGTAGGTCAAATTGATGTTGGTTGTGATTGGTTGGTCGGCGCTCTTTGAGGCACTACAGTGGCTGTCGTGGATGGGTGTTCCATTGCGACGGGCAACGGTCGCCATAAACTTGCAATGAACTCCTCCGTAGATCCGGCTGCCAGCATTGTCTGTGTTTTGTTTGATTGGTTGCCCTTCCAGTGTCAACAGACCGCTCCCGTCGAGGGATTGCATTGGTCTGACAGGGCTGGTGTCACCACTGTCCGGCCGTATGGGTCCTTTGTCCGTCATCTCCGGTGCCTAATGTCTTTAGATGGGTTTTGTAGTACTAAGTGCACGCCCGAATGGCGCCAACTATTGTGATATGTCTCTGACTTAAATTCGTCTCCTTGAGGGGTGAAAAAGATAAGCGTGAGAATCACAACAAAGAAAACAAGATCATCAGACGTCTTCCGGGAGGTGATCCCAGAACGAAGCTTCGACGGTCAAGTTTGTGAATTCCTTTGAGAAATGACATCATATGAAGAGTATGAGAATAGGATTTAAGAGGAGGTCTTTGACGGTAGATCGTGCCCCACGGGTGGCTATTTGCTATTGGTGCAGAACTGCTAGTTGGCAGACCACCGAGCACTACACTTTTCGCCCTGGGGAAACTGGTACTCCTTTTTCTTATCTGGAACGGGAGTTGCTCTCCTAAAAGGGGGCCAATCCCGAGGCCATATCGTCGATGCTAAAACACGAGGTCTTATGGACAATGTCTTGTCGGGTAGTGGGTTTTTGATGGGTCGTTCCTGAGTTGACGGCTCTGTTTATCCTTTGGCGTTACTCCAGGTAAGATACGTCAACAGTGTAAATAAATGAAATAATGTAAGAAAAAAATAGATTTGATATGCAGGGACAAGATTTGATAACTCAGACCTTAAGTGAATGCTTAAGATCAATGTCTTCTTGCTAATAAATGTTCTAGTCAAGCCTGGAAAGACAACTCAAGTCTAAGTTGATGTATTCAACAAATGATCAAGTCATAAATCGTGAATGAGAATAAATGAAGAACAACAAGAATGTTTGAAATAACTTTGTAAATGCCAAAAGTTGAGTGAAAGATCTGTTCTTGACTTTGCATTGAAAGCTCCTATAAATAGGACTGAAGGATACAGCGAATTAACTAGAAAACTTACATAGAGCTGGACAATAGAAATGTTTCTGACATTCTGATTGTCTAGTATTACAAAAAAACTAAGTCCTATGAAATGTCACATCAATAAAAAGACAAACTTAATAAATGCACAAAGACAAAATATTGTAACTCCGAATCAGCATCCATTCCGGACATGAGAATCATTCTGGAATGCCTTCAGCTTCGCATCTTCTTCTCTTCTGGTCCGGACAGATTCCGGACCACTCTTCACATTTGACTCCATACCATTTGTTTCGAAACACATGTACTTCAGAACTCAGACTTAGGATTGCTAGAGGTTCTCTTTCAGGTTCCAACAATCTCCCCCTAAGTGAACTTAGCAATCCATCCAATTATACTGCTTCTTCATTGATGAAGGTGTAAGCTCGGAACAACCATTCTCTGACTTCAATGTACCAGGTCAGTTGACTTACAAACTTTGCTTTGACCTGTTCCGGAGCTTTAGACTTTGATGCACGAGAGATTAACTTCCAAAGTGCTTTGGTTGGGACTAGGTGCTTGTCAAGGACACAGAAAAAGTCCTTTTTGTTTGTTTTCTTTGTTGTATACACAAACCCTAGAATCGGATCATCGATTGGACCATCTTCGAGCAGATCAGCTTCCGGAAGAACATAGGTGATCTTCGCAACGAAGTCTTCAGTTCCGTAGAAATGAGCCAGCTCATAGTCGCATCTGCAGAATTCCGCAACGTAGTCCTTGAAGAAGCTTAGAGCAGCATGAAAGGCACCCATGCCGATATCGTTGTTTTGCATTCCTCGAAAGTGAGCAGCCAGAGTTAGAATGTTGTTCGGATTCAAGGAAGGGAAGTCTGCATCAGTAATGGTTCGATAGTTAGGCTTGTTCCGGAAGACGTGAAATCGAAATAGTGGGCAGTTGAGTTCGAATTTCACTAGGATTTTTCTTGCAAATCCATGGACTTTGGTGATTCTTTTTCTAGTCCATACTTCCTTAAACGGTTGAGCATTCTTGGAGTATAATGTTTCAAGCCTTTCTCGTTCCGTCGGGAGGATCACTTCCGGATCGTCATTTCGGTGAAGAGGAGAAAACTTGATGTAGTACTTGCTGTATGGAGAGAGAGGAAGATCTAGCTGTTCGGAATCGTTAGTGGGAACATCATAGTACATGTATGGAACGATTTCGAGATCACGGAGTATGCCTTCACGGCAAAGAGGAGATATCCCACGCATCGGATCAAGATTATCCTTAAGAGCTTGGATCCGGATGCTGTCCTCCAGAGCCTTGTTGATTTCCTCCTGAGACCATCCTTGTTTTTGCTTGAGAGGATGTCTAGAGTGGAAGGCTTGTCAGCAGTCATTGACATTTTGCCTTTGTCTCTTTTCTGTTCAGTCATGATGACCTGCATGTTTTCATCCACCACAAATTCCGGAGTAGGGTTCGGAAGAGGGTCTTCCGGAATGTCATTAGGGATCCGGAGTGGAGAGCCCTGATGTATTTCAGCAATTTTTGGAGCTGGAATAGGTGGGAGCATAGAAGGAGTGGCTCGGAAGGCTTCATCTGTGATGAAGGATTTGGCTTTGGCCATTTGAATGGCTTTTCAAAGAGCGTCAGGTAAAGAGGATGGCCAAGAGGTTGCGGACCATATCCTCTTTTCTTCCTCAGTCAACACCTTTGGAAATATAGCTTATTCGGAGCCTCGAGACCAAGAACTCCTTTGGTAACATATTTTTCTTCTTCACTGTTTACTTCATCATCAGAGGAAATTCCTAAAAGTCCGGACACAACTTGGACTTCATCGTTGGAATTCAAGTCTTTATCTCGGAGTGTGAACTCCGAGGTAGGTTTCCATGGTTGGCTAGGACCTTCTCCCCCTCTTGCAGCGGTGGAGCTTGGAACCGGTGCAAGTATTAAAGAGTCCTTTAGATCATCAAATTTGGAAAAGACTTTCTGAAGGCCCGTGTTGAATTGAAGAGTGAGGGTATCGTATGCTTCGGAAGTGGGAGCTTGAGCAGCAAGGTGGTCGAACAGATGACCGAGAACAGCTAACATCTCATCAAACTTTCGATTCGGAACGTCAACGATGTTCCAAGTGGATCGAAGTAGCTTGATGAGGACTTGTTGAATTATAAGGTTCATCTCATCCTTCTTCTTGATCTCCTTCTCCAGCCTTTGGATTTGTTTCTCATGACGAATATGGGTCTTCTTAATAAGATCGTTGGTAGCAGACACCAAGTCGTCATGGACTTTGAGCATAGAGGTGATTGTGTTGAGATAGTGGTCAACCAAAACATCATATTTAGTTTCAAATTCCTCGATGGAGTGCTTGAGTCGGAGAGAGATCAGTTGATCTAGTTGGGCTTCTCGTTCCGCAACTGAAGGTCTCGACTGTTGTGAGAGAGACTGAAGGATGGCATCGAGTTTGGAATCAAGTCCGGACACCTTTTGATCCATCTTTGTGTTGACCTTGGTTACAGATGTTTCGATTGAGGAGACCTTCTTCATAGTATCCGACACATTGGTTTGAATTTCGAGCAGAGCAAAAGGATCTGTGTAGTCACCAGTTGAGGATTCGGAGTCAGAATCTGAGTGTTGCAGCTTAGCTTGACATGATGAAGTATGTATGGTTAGACCAGGCTTAGTGATGACATCATCTTCATGTAGCTTGGAGTTGTATCCACCATCCGGAGTGGTTGAAGAAGATGATTCGAAGTCAAAAGCAGAGTTGGAGGTTGATGGCTTGGATTGCAAGTGGATGGATGACATGAAGTTAGGGTCCGGAACAGATTTGCCTTCATCAGTGATCATGATTTCTTCGGAGAGTTCTTCATCCGAAACAGTTTGGAATACGTTGGTGTGAGTGGTGGGTTGTTCCGAAGCTAGTTCTCGATTGGCATCATCATATGTAGGAGGAACATACGGAAGATTTCTTTGATGAGCTCTGTTGTACATGGAAGTAAGAGTGGCTTCCACTTGATCTCTTGTCAGATCTGGACGTCTGCAAACAGCCCTGTTAACATAATCTTCCCATTGGGGATCTTTAGCACCTGGTCGTCATGTACACCTTCCGGGTATCAAACCAGTTGAGACATCTGGAGTCAGAGAGACTGCTCCAGCTCCGGAATGCTTAGGATCCGGAACAGGGGTTCCGGAGTGTGTGCTTGTGTGAGAAATGAGAGGGATATCAAATGAGACTCGTGGGTGTGTTCCAGGGGGCTGCAATGAACTATTGTCAACACCGGCATCACCTTTTTGGGAAGGTGAGGGTGGATTATGTGGAGACTCCTCGTGAGTGTATGCATGTGATGTTGAAACATTGAGGGGTACCTCAGACGAGTGGGCTGGTGGGGTGTTCGGACGGCCAGATTCAGCCTGAGTGTCATGAGCATCTTCCTTTGGAGAGGAAGAGCCGACTTTGGGTATCTTTTGAGGCTTTGTCTTGGAGGGAGAAATCTTCCGTTTGGCAGATTTCTTAATTCTTGGATCTGGACACGGAAGGTTTGGCCTTTTCCGAAACAGGCTCAACAGAGACCGGGACAGGTTGTGTTGGGTCAAACACAACCAAAGTCTCCATATGTTGTTACAAATAAATGGAATCGGAAGGTATGGAGGCCAGCATATGGTCCGGAAGTCGTCTAACTGTACCAAAGGAGGATTGGTCCTGAATTCTATAAGATTTGACAACTTTAAAAGAGACACATACCTCCGGAGGAATCACGGAGACCGGAAGTGGTTTGGAAATCTCCTTGAAGAGTTGTTGAATCGTCAGTGCCCAGAACCTAGGGCTTGAAATTTCGTTATCCTTCCTCTTGATGGCAAACTTGCAGAAATCTTGCCATAGGACCTCCGGAAGATCAACTGCATTTGTGCATCCGGAGAAGATGCTATAGACCACATATAGCCAGTCCTTGATGAGGGTGTCGGTGTCACACCCCCAAACCAGAACGGCGAAAACGTTCGGGGCGGAGGACTTCAGGTAAGTATCACAACACATGCAATATAGTAATCAAAGTACAAACAACCATTACATTAATAAGTATAAGTGTTACATAAGTGTTTAAACATTACATATTCAAACACCAAAGTAGGTACAGTAGAAGACAAGAATCGTGGTACGGTACTAGGTAGTCTTCTCAAA